TTGGAGCCAAACTAGGGGAAAGAGGTTGTGTGTCTGCAGCCTCATTCCCCTCACCATCCCTCCCCCCCTATTTCCAGTGTTATCTACAGGATGGGAGAGGGATGGGGGAGGGGAGGAAGTTCTGGTCTGGGGTTTTCCCTGCCTCCACTGGAGGTGGAGGGAAGATGGATTGGAGCCCCCCCCACTTGGGGGTCTCCAACCCACCCACCCCACCATCAGCAGAGGCTGGGCAAACCCCAAACCAAAGCTCCCTCCCCACCCACATCTCCCCCTCTCATCCTGCAGACAGCACCGAGGGTGGCGCTGGGATGCATCAACCCAGCTCTGTTCACATGGAGGGACAAACAGAAGTTAATGGAGGTGCTCTGCTTTGGAGTGCTTTCATCTGAACCCTCATTAAATAAGGGTTAAATTGTTGTTCAATCAGGTACTTTTAAAGTGCTCACTTCAGTCAGGGAAAGGCTGTAGAGCATTTCCAGGGCCCAATCATGCAACAAATATCACTTCTATCAGTGGCTGCTTGTATTTTTCACCCCCATTTCCTTCTCAGCTTTGTTTCCTCTCTTTCCTATGTCTTCCCATCTTCTGTTTAAAAAAAGCCTACCTTAGCTGTTTCTTTTGCAACACTGCTGTGAGTCTGTGACCAGTAAGCCAGCTAAAGATAATGTTTTAAATAGCCTGATGCTGGTACAAGCTTGTCAGATCTTGGAGTGGCTGTGAAAACCCCCTGAGCTGTGTCTGGAACAGCAAGCAAGCATGACTTTGGAGTCATCACCAGAAACAAAAGTTGAATTTTCTGCCTTTGCTGTTGGCTTCTCCCCTTTGGGGTGTTGCTTGTCTTGTCCTCAGGAAAAAAAAGACTGATCCTAATGACAAGTGTTACCCTGGTACATGGCACTGCCCATGGCTGCCACTGAATAGTGGGATCCTGGGGCACCCAGTAGCCAGCAACCTTGCCCAGCCTAGCGGCTGCAGCAGGTTCCTTGAGAAGAGGGTCTCCTCTTACAAAGGATGAGCCTTGCAAACATATAGTTAACTAAATACAAGATTTAATTATATACAATATAAATTGCAAATAACCAAGCAGTTTTAACTTGTAAAGCCTAGAAAAGAACATACAATAAACCCCGGTAATGACAGTCACAACATATAATCTTTTCTTTGAATACCCTTAACCCAAAAGAAGAATAATCACAAACAGATAATAAGGTATCAATACTGAGCCAATTGGGTTACAGACTTATAGTCTTCCCCATACTTATTTACACATCTAATGAATAACTTTTATATGCAAGAATGAATATGATGGCTCCCTGCACACTTAGCAGCCTGGGGCAATGCCTTGAGAGGAACAGCCACTTCTTTGCCCCTCTCTCTGGGGCTGTGGGCAGGTCCTCCCCGACTTGGGTCCCTTTGTGCTTGCTTCAGGCATCACATGCTGCTGGCCATCGCTCCCTCACTGGCATCTCTGCAATACACCTTTCTCCGTCCCGATCCATGTCCCCTGACACACTCAGGTGAACTGGGCCTATCCCCCTCCAGTGCCACCTCCCCAGTGCACAGTCACCGCACTCAGGGCTTGTGGGTTCCTTCCCATCTAGGCCACGGTGCAGCTTTCCTCTTCATCCCAGGGAAGATTCCTGGGTTTGGACGCCTCCCAATCCTACAGCAACTCCTTTGGTGGCTCTGCAGTCTCTGGGGAAGAGTTGCCACAGCCAGGCTCCCTCCTGCCTTCAGCCTGCAGTGCATGGCTTTTCTCTTCCCCCACCAGGGGTGGGGGGAAACCCTGTTATCAAGGAGCTTCCTTGGCCAATCCCCCACAGGGATTTTTTCTACAGGCTTCCCAGTGGCCACTGTGTTCCCTTTTCCTCTTTGCCCAAAATGGACCCATTTGGGCTTCATCCCCACACTCTATAGGCAGGCTTTATCCCCACACACTATAATGCCTTAACTGGAACAAACATCCCCCTTTCTCAGCACACTGTCTCTCGAGGGGCAGCCTTCCCATGCTGCTGCCCAGCTGCACTCCTCCTTCCAAACAATCGTACTGCTTGTTACTCAAGGAACACCAACAACAGGCACAGTGAACCAGTTGTGTCCTCCTTTCCTCCAAAATGGCAGTTAAATAGTAACGCATTATTAAATATCACCGAAGAAGCTGCCAAAGATTGGAAAGAATGGGTGTTGTATGATGATGCTATAATGAAAACCTTACACTCCATGTCAAATGTTTTCACTGTTTTTCCTTCTTCTTTTTCTATTTGTATCTTTAATAAGAGATTATTTGCCAAGGGACTAAGCAAGCCAAGATCTCCATATTTAAACTTTCAGGTGTTGTTTACCTTTTAATGCAGTACAGTGACAGGATCATGTTAAAACTTTTGGCCCTCTGAGTCCACTTATTCAATCACAATTAATGCAACAGGTGGCAGGGATCGCGCCTGAAGAATGGAAAGCCAGAGTTAGGACTGGTGAGGAAGGCTGTCACCCAGGGCAGGGAAGGTGGCAGGGCAGGGGCAATTAGAAAAGCAAAGACAAGCAGCACCAGGAATGTAAACCTCAGGAAAAGCTGAGAGAAGTCAGTTAGGGTTGAAGTAGCCAGGGTCCTGTGTTCATGTATATGTGGACTAGGAAGGCTAAATGCGAGAAGCAGAAAAATGTAGGGTACCCCATTGATATTTGGAAACATTTGTGATAGAGGTAAGCTAGCTGAATATTACATTAACTTTCTATGGATTTAGTAAGCACTGGGAGATGTGAACAGTGGAAATGCCATGGTGAGAAGCTGAGTATAGCCATACTTCAGTAACCAAAAGTGCAGTGGTTCAGGACATATGAGCCAAAATACAGTGAGGTCCAGCCCAGACGACAAAGGCTTAAGGGACTTCTTTCCCCTTACACTCACAGTACATTAGCCCTGAGATTTAGGATGGTAAAAATCAGCATCTAGAGCCAGATTCTGGCTAGCTGATGAGTAAATGTGCAGACAGATATTCTAGGGTATTCTGGGAAGGTATAAGGAACTCTCCATCCTGTTGCCCAGAATCTCAATGAAAGGCATCATCCCTGCCTCCTTGCCTTATTGTAGGAAGTGGATGAGCAGTAGAGCTGGGACGGGAGGATCTGAGGCTACCAAGTGGATTGCCAGTGGGCACTGCCCATCAGCAACAAAGAGGCAGTCTCTCATGAGTAATTGTTTATTAATCTGTTGCTACTCAACAGCAAAATGTTGGCCACCATTTTTTAGTGAGCAGTTTATGCACTACCAGTTAGATTGTTGCCATTTTGCCAGAGCCTGGAATTGGTCCCTCATGATATGCAGCCTCCACACACATTTAATGCCTGTACACGCATTTTCATGTGAACCCAGCCCCTGGGTTGCGAGGGGTTAGGCAGTGAGGGGTGGGGACACTCCAAGACCAGGACAACCAGACCCAGGGAGCTGGGTTGAACTATAGCCTCCAGGCTGCTTTGAGGGCTAGCAGGGGGGGAAGTAGGAAAGAGGGGGCCATTTTGCTTTGAGCCAGCATGGTTGGAGCAGGGACCATGTTTTGCTTCCTGATATGCTCAAAGCACTGTTGGAAAAGGTCCCAGGGAGACTGTGGAGGAGCCTAGTTTGACTGCAACTAAGAGAAATCTTGACTTCATCGCAAAGGAGACCCCAGCAGGGAGGGGAACTGACTGTGGCTACAGAGCAGGACCTGAGGAAGTTGCACTTGAAAGGCTGCAAAATGTATTACAGTCAGTGTGACCATAAAGTGGTGGAAGTCCTTGTGCCACCTAGGACAGCCTGGGCTGTGCATAAGGTGAAGTTTCCCACACCAAAGGGTCCTTGTGAGACTGTTAGGAGCTAGACTTTTAAGTTGCACTGTTCACAGGAGTAATTTTGTCATCAGGTTTCCATGCAGGGTTTTCTGGGTTACATTACAGACTTGCTGCATCTACATGATGCAGTCTGCAAACTGTACAGTTGTCGCTATACAGTCATTTAGTACTTGCAGCCCACATTCATAAAAACAGGACAAAGTGACTGGGTGTGGCTAATTAATTTCCTCCAACATAACAAGCCTCACTGGATTGATAAACACGGTGCCATTAAACACTTAAGTGCCAGTATCAGCCAATACTTTTGTAAAGACAACAGATAAAGGACAATGCTGCCACAACAATGAAACTGTGAGGAAAGTACATTTTCTTATTGAAATCAATATGCTGTATTATGCATAAGAGTTGATGAAAGAAAACATAGAGAATATTTTAAGAAGTGGGGGTTCTTTAATTTACATGATAGGAAGAAGACTACCAAATTAAAAGACCTGAATTGTGGGTATTGTCATCCTCAATCAAGAAGAAAGAGGATTTCACAATTTTTTTAACATGGAAGCCAATAAAACAACAGGAGATTCTGCTGGTGAAACAATACTAACCACCATGAAGAGAACAAATGCCAAAAGTCAGAGACCTTAATGGAGTAGCTTAGCAGTTCCCAGTCTGTGGTACGGAAACCACCAGTGGTACGCAGACAGCCTGTCAGTGGTACGCATTATCAGATTTATTATAATTACTTTATATGACACAAATTTTCTGGAAGTACTTGGGTGAAACTGAAAAAAATTGCTTGTGGTACTTAAGGTTGTATCGTTTTAAATTGGTGGTGCACAATCTGTCAGGGTTTGGGAACCACTGGAGTAGTCAGTCTAATTGCCCTATACACACACCTGAAACTTTATATTTTGCCTACAGTAGAGAAATGTTGCCAGCTACATAATTAATCTATGACTGGTAAAACTATTTGCTCCAAAAACTACACAATTACAGAGCAGCCATTCTCCTTAAAATCTAAATAGGTTTACTGGGTTTTAAATGAGTTTAAACATTGCACTGTCATTTTCACTGGTGGCTTCCAAATGTATGTGTATTTGTATAGTATTTCTTAAAAACTATGAATTGCACTTAAGTTTAAGGCAAATTGCTTAGACAATGAATAACTGCACTTCATCTACTGAGATGGCTGCTTAATCGGAGTAAGCTGGTAAAAAGCTTCTCATGTACCATGTATAATACTGGTTAATTCATACAACTGCAGTCACATCACATCTTGAAGAATGACACAAACTACAGAAAAAGTATTTAGGATGATAATTGTTCTTCAGATGGTAACTGGCTCTGAGTTTGTCTCTTGCGTGCCACTGCTGCGCGCAAGGCCTGAAGAATCAAGTTTTCATTATTCAGGATGTTGTAATTAGTCAGTTTCAGAAGCTTGTTGAAATCCTCTGCTTTCAGTGTGACCTCCCTTGTAGAGTATGGGGAAAGGAAACCAGAGACATCAACTTTGCCCATTTCCATTTCTGATGCACTGCGTGGTACACCTGAGGAATGAAAACAAACAATGGGTTTCACTACTGAGTCACTGGGTACACTTAAGGGGTATATATCAAACTAATTCACTCTGTCAAGAACTTCCACGAAGGAGTTCACAACTGTAACTAACCAGAGGATGTTCTATGGCAGGGCTATCCCACGGGTGGCCTGCAGGCTACATGTGGCCTGTAAGGGTTTAAGTTACAACCGCTTCAGCTGCCACTCATCCTATTGCTCTATCTGCAACAGCAGCCAAGGGCACTGATTTATCTCTTCTTGCAACTGCTGCTTCCTTCCCCCACCCTAGGGGGAAGAGCAGTGCTACACAACATAAGGAGCAGAGGGTGAGTCCAGGGCCAGACAGGTGCATGGTGCATTGGCAGCCAGGGACCCATGTAAACGTGGTGTAGAAGTTGTGGGGGATGTTGTCTTTGCAATGCATGGCCTGGGGAACTGTGGCCTACTTGGTATGGTTCATGTGGCATGTGGCCCTTACTGTTACAGCCTGGTGGACATGTGGCCCCCAGACACTTGAAAGTTGGACAGCCATGTTCTATAGGTATCACTAATACAATCTTGTACTTTTTTCTTTTAAACGTGAGTTTTAGTCAAAGCCCTATTGTATTAAGTAGGAGGATGAAGGTGATTGAATTACAATTAGTACCCCCTAGGGGCCAATCTATAGAATTCAGAGAGTGTCTTACAGAAGACTGTGCACTATCCAAAATGTCTCAATACAAGTGAGCAAATATTAAAAGGCATGTTGAAGGCAGGAAGAAACAGAAAATTAGTAGCTCTAAAAAAAATATCCTACTAGAAACACATAGGAACTTATCCAGAAAAAAGTAATGGCAACTAAATTAAGGAAGCGGTTTATTTATTTATTTACCTTTTGTTTTACTTTTTCAGGATAAAAAATAAGATTAATAAATATCATATAATATAAAGTACAAACAGCCCCTTCCCAAAATACCTCAAAAGCCTAAAGCAAACTCATTTCCTGCATACAGCAATTTTCAGTAATCAAATTTATACTTCAAAATATGCTTAGTATTTCCTTGGAGTCATTGTGCGTGTCTATGTGAGATACTGACTGCACAGTAGCCAAACAATACTGTGCAGTAGTGCATCACAGGATAGACAGTGCTAATACGCTACTGCACAGTAGTGTCACTTAAAAGACAGTTGCTGGTGCTATTGCACAGTAACTCCGGTTACTGTGCATTTAATTTAGTACTTGTTAATACAAGTACTAAATAAATGCACAGTAATGACTGTGCAGGGGTGTCTCATGCAGATGCACCCATTGTAGAGAGTTCTCTGAAAACACCAGGATAACATGCAGCAATGACCAAAAGAACCAATAAAACATTAAGCAACATTAAGCAGAGAATTGAAAACAAAATGGAAAATATCATTATGCCACTGTATAAATGCATGTTGCACCCACATGAATGCTACATGCAATTCTGGTCTCTAAAGCTTAAAAAGGATGTAATGAAATTAGAAAAGGTACTGAGAAGAGCAATCAAGATGATAAGGTATATGGAACATGTTCCATACCAAGAGAGTTTGAAAAGGCTTAGGACTCTTCAATATCACAAGAAAAGGCTGAAGAAGCAGGAGAAAGGGGTCTATAAAATAATGAATGGTATGGATAAAATACATAGGAAACTATTACTGACCAACTTCTGGGAATACAAGAATTAGGTGGCACCCACTGGAATTTTAAGAACGCCGGTTTAAAAAACAAACAAGAGGAAGTACTTGTTTACACAGGGTGTAGTTAATTTGTGGAAACTTCGTTACATGAGGTTGTACAGGCAGGTAGTATAACCAGGTTAAAAATGGATTGTACAAATTTATGGATGAGAGGTCCACTGGGAGTTATTAAATGGAACAGTCAAGGATGTATCCTCTGAAATCCCTAAATAGATGATGACCAGGGATGGATCACTCTAGATATGCCCCATCTGTACACTCTCCTTCCAAAGCATCTACTTTTTACTATTTCAAAAAGAAGATACTGAAGTAAATAGACTATTGGCCTGACACAATATGGCTCTTATGTTTAGACTCTCATGTTTTTATTCACCTTAAAAGTTGGTGAACATGGACACCTGAAAATCATGAATAAAGGTGGCTGTCCTGGTTCCACTTTGAAAGACCTTTCCTCCATTCTTCAACAGTTCACAAGAACAACTGCAAGATTCTAAGCTTTTTAAGGTTTTTTTTAATTAAATACTATGTCTTTAATTGCTCCTAGAAGTGCATGTGAAGTTAGTGTAATTCACATTTCACAGATGGGCTCATCCAAAATTCATCCCACCAAGCAGATGAACCACTAAAACTTGTGTTAAGCTGGAATTTCTGAAATACACTTAAGGTTAATGCATCCATTTTCATCATGATATGTCTATGACTACTAGCTTATGAACTACATGTTATGAAAGTATTCTAAAAATCTTGCCATTTGTGGCAAGGATTTTGAAATACACATAGGGCACAGACAAATGACATTTGTTGTGCAATCAGCCCCTTGAAAACACTCTAAAGCCATGCCCTAACAGAAGAGCATGGCTGCAGAGCACTCCATCGCAAAACAAATTTTCTGTCTGCTCTGGTGCTGGGCTTCTGCAGCACAGCCCAGCCCCTGGTGCTGTCTCTGGTTGGGAGGAGGACAAGGCAGGGGAGGGAGGTCAATTCTGAGATTTTCGAAGCTGTGCTGGAGTGGGGGCAGTAAGTGGATTGGACCCCCCCACCTTGGGGGGAAGACTCCACTCCACCCATTCCCTCCTCTCCAGCATGGCTGGGAAAACCCCAAAACGGACCTCCTTCACCCACCTTCTCCCCCTCCCATCCAGAGACAGCAGGGGAGCTGGGGGGAGATGGGGTGGGGACAAGAGAAGAGGCTTTAGAGACCCAGCCTCTCTCCCTGGAAGATCTCCAACTTGAAGCCCAATCCCCCACCCTCCTAACCCAACATTTAACATCGGTTGAGTCAGGAGGATTGGTCTAACTCATGGCACTTTCTCTCAAGTGCTATGAGTTAAATCAGAGAACTGCACTTCCATCTGTACTCATAAGCAGAGGAAGCAGTTAAGATGACTAAGAAAAATAGATTTATTTCAAGGAAAAGATTGTGAAGGGTTATACTTGTTTATTTGATATACTAATGCCACTTACGCAGAGGTGAGCACAAGAAATTAATTTCCAAATTCTTAATCATAGAATCATAGAAGTAGGGTCGGAAGGGACCTTATAGATCTTCAAGTCCAACCCCCTGCCAGGGCAGGAGAAAAAACTGGGCTCAAATGATCCCAGCTAGGTAGGCATCAAGCCTCGTCTTAAAGACCCTCAGGGTAGGAGCCAGCACCACTTCCCTTGGA